CCTGGGAGTTCTGGGGCCATTGGTATTGGTTCCACGCTCGTCTTTTCCATGCCAAGGTTTTAATTGTACGTCGACGCAGTCGCTTTTTCTGTTTGAATGGTCGAACCTGTGTCCGTGGTGCGAACCTACGCATGGCTCAGTGAGGATCTTCCTCACTTTGGTCCAATGATCGTTGACGCAAGACGGGTTAAGGGGCCATGGGGCGGACTCCAGGAAGGACGGCCTTATGTAGGTTCCAGAGAGTGAACCCTGTCGACCGTATCAGTTCCGTGGTGTGTACGAATGTGAATCGCACGACACCATGGTCGCCGAGTCCCAGTGATGTAGAAACCTCTAGTTGGTCGGCCATATGGAATTCGTTAATAAGAACCCAATCTAGCGCTGAATGTCTCGAGTTCCTTCGCCTCCGGGTTGTTTGCCGCACGTGCTCGTGCCATCCTAGGTCTATCACCGTGTCAAAGAAGACTGAGGTTATGGACCCAGGTGCCGCTTGGCAGGTCAACGTATTAAACAAACCTCCGGTAAATTGAAATCCCCATTATCAGGACGTGGTGATACTTCAACCTCATGACGCGCTTTAGTGCGTCGATTATGGTAGAGTTCGTCGACTGTGAGCAATTAAGTGGCTTATAGAGAACACATACCAGGCGTTGCCTTTCGCTGTCCAGTTCTATGGCTAACCAGACGCTCTCCGGTATCCTTTCTAGTACAGGATCCATGATCCTCACAGATCTTAGTTTCCTGCTGATAAAAGGGGCACACTCCCACCTATGTTGTCTGTTCTGTCCTATCACAGAATGTCTAACTCGAGAATTTTCAGTTCGTCGTCGGATATCCCCGAGTAAGCCCAGGTCTCCGTTATATCGACCAGTAGTTGCCGGTGCTGGTCAACCTGGAGACTGAGCTCACAGAGCTTGTTTAATAGGCTTTGGATATTAGTGTACATACAGCCCCATGACTCTGCGATCATGTTGTTGTATGCTACGGGTAGATTGTCTGCAGACAAATCGGAGAGACTGCTCGCCGTTGCCGGAGTTTGTGTTGACATCAAGGACTGTGTAGGGGTTTCTAACTGGGAGCTGTGTGCGCAATCTGTGCTAACTTGGTTTAGGCTGCCAGCTCTGCTTGAGCAGGCATTGTCAAGTTTCTTTCCCCGGTAATGGGAACACTGCTGTCGACTGTGATACCCGACATGATGGTCAGACGCAGGACTAGCTCTGCGTCCGTGAGTTCACTTGCACGTCTGGTCTCTTGGCGTTCGCTCCTGGGTCTGCACCGATTATGATGCAGTTCTGGGGGGAACTTGTTTCTCAGAGAATGCCATTTATCAAGGGTCGCTTGAGCCATGGATTCGGTGAGGAATGTGTCTCTAAGTAGTCTGGGCTGCGATATGCGCATTAAGTGTGTTGGGCTAGGCAGTCGGCCTAGTCCGCTGAGCACTAATCCCTCAATATTCAGCTTGGAGGCTACATAGGTCCATTGGGAGAGGTCATAGTGTGCATTCTCTTGGGGGTTGCCTTCTCGTGATTTGGGAACTCCGTGCAAGACAATACTCTTTGTCCAGAATTGTGTTCTCTCTGGGCCCTTGCAACGCGTTGGGTCCTAGCGGACGGACCTGGGTATGAAATTAAATGAAGAGTAAAGATTATTTGCAAGAGGACTGGATGCATAGCTGCTAGCGTGACTCATTTGATGCTTTTTCTAGGGACATTCAGGAAACGGTGTGTCCCAAGATGCATCGAGCATCCTCTTCAGAGCGAGCACGCTGCCCTAGTTGACTATCTCATTTGTCAGCTTGTTCCAGTTGTTGATGATACGCAGCGAGAAGAAGTTGGCCCTGATCATTCTGTATACCCTTGGTTTCTCCAGTTTGAGGCTGTGACCACGCCTTGTCTGGTCCTCATCAAGCTCAAAGAGATGTCTTGTACTTTGCGAATAACCCTATAGGATTCTGAAGGTTTCAATTAGATCACCTCTAAGTGTACGACGCTCTGGGGAGAAAAGACCCAGTGCTCGCAGCCTTTCATTTAATGTTAGTCTCCTTAGGAGAGGGAACATCCGCGTGAAACGGCGTTGCACCTTCAACTGGACCAGTTTGTCTCGCGCCAATACTGGTGCCCACGCTTGGACACAGTACTCTAAGTGGGGTCGTATAAAAGCTTGGTCAGGTCTGGTCACAGGACTTGCAGCTGATGCTAATTTGAGTCCAGGTTCTTGCACCGTGAGCGTGTCGTTTTCCTACATGTGCCTCGATAATAGAGAATCCTTTGCGAGCGGATTTTGGGCTCCCCGAAGTCCATTTGGGCAACCTTTCTGTCCAGGTACCACTTCTGTAGGTCAGGTCAGGTCATAGGACTTGTGGCCCGAGCCAATATGTGTTCATGTTT